CTTTCTCAGCAGTGGACACTAAAGGTTCACTACTCTTGCCACCAAAACCATCCTGATGAGTTGCTGTGCATGGCTTCAAAAGCTGTCTTGTTTGAGGAATCTCATCTGGTTGTGGCTCTGCAGCCATCACACTTTCATGGCAATTTTTGTTAAAGATATCTTCTTCACAATCTCCCTGCTCTGAAAAGACATTACCAGCTACAACCTCATTTAAAGATGGTAATTCAGGTGGAGAAATACAGGAGGGTGGGTCAACATCCATCTCAGAACCAGATATTCCTTCTCCAGCAGCCTCACCACAAATGCTATTTGTACCAACTAACCCATCAACTGATTCACTACCCAAATCACTTGCAATACTAGCAGGAGCCTCAGAGCAATCTGCATAACCATTTTCATGATTAGATGACATGATCCCATTTACACAAGGGCTATCATCAACTAATCCTCTATTTTGTTTTGCAGAAATCACCATTGCACTTGCATCCTGACTAGCATCTCTGGTTTGTTTCTGAATAGGATCAACTAGGGAATTTAACTGTTTCTGTACATAGATTGCTAAAGAAACAGCTTGATCACGGATCAAGGAATCATGGGGTGGGCAATGTAGCATGTCAATCAAAGCCTTGTTGTACTGAAATAGGCTGACAGATGGCAAAATAGACCCTTTCTCACGAAAGACCTTTATTACCTTGAACACATGCTCACACAGATAGCCCATTTCTGCCCAAGTACAATCACAAATCCCATACTGTGAGCCAGGGTTCCAAACAACATAAGCTCTATCTCGATCAAGCTGGTCAGTCACTTTTGCACATCTCCCTTCAATGGCAACATCAGAATCTGGAATCTTCAATGCCTTACGCCAAGATGTTAAACCACTCATCCACTCATCCTTCCAGTATCGTGCAAAATCATCTTTCCCTGAGTATTCATCCAGCCAAAAGTACGAATGCACTTTCGTACCCAACTTATTAACCAGCCAATCAGTGCGTTGGTAGACAGAAGGATCCTTCTCATTTAACAACCGGTGCTTCAGTTGATTGTGGTGAAATTCCATCGCTGCACAAGTCTCCAGGCTAGCAAGTGGGAGAGTTCCAAGTGCAGAGATCCAAGCCCCTGAAACAAGAGAAAGTTATAATTGCCTTGTTCTACAAGTTAAAAGTCTTTTACAAATAGGAAAAAACTGCCTCAAGCTGTTAGCAAAATAAAATTTTCACTCATTTAGTACAATCAAGTCTGTCTGAGATCTGCTTCTAATTACAATTAAATATATCATGCGTTTGTGTTTTATGGATAGTAAAATATAGAGAAATAAAATAGACAGTCAAAATGGTAGCAAATTTGAACATTATCTTGGGAGAGATAGTTCTACTTAAGAGTGGCTCCCCACTGATAATTAAAGAAAGAATTTAGGAACAGGTGCAAACCAGATGGGAAAGACAGCATGAAAAGGTAGAAGTAGCATCCAACCTATTCTAGGGTACCAGATTGCTTTGAAATAATCCATAAAATTCAAGCAATCAACAAAATCTTCCATGAATTTCTCAAACAAATCAACATTTCCACATCCTCTGCAAATGTCATCAACTGCCATTCCAAGTCGTCTTGATATCTCAACATGCATCTCTGTCTCTGAACATCTCTTCAATAAGTTTTTATGCCATGCATGGCGGACCCGCCAAAAGGATATCAATACAGAGCACTCAAAAACATCCCTGAATACCATTCAAACAAAGAAAATATAAGAGTGCAAATGTTATAACCCTTCATCATGTTGACATGACATAACCATTTCAATATGCCATTTAAGGAGCTCACTAAATAAAGCTGAACTAGGTTACTCCAAGTTTAAATCAAAAAGATATAAACGAAAAATGAGCTACGCCTGAATTTGCTTCACATTTATTATAATCATATAAGCAGAGAAACCTCGAGGTTAGAAAACACCCAAGAGGCAACACCAAGCAAGGAGCTGGTACACAAAATGAACAATCTCGAACTAAAAGGCATGTGATCAGATAGCAGGCAAGAGGTTAACATGCTAGTTCTACAAACCAGTGCTTCCGAACTCTAATAACTATAGGACTATTAAAGAAATCATATAAGCTCATGCTCCTCAACAAATATAATAGACAATGGAACAATCATCTTCCACAACATATTAAAAGCATATAGTTATGTAAAGTCAGCTATGACGAAGGACTTAATAGCCAACCTGATTGTAAGGACATCAACTGAAGGATCATCCACAATAAACCCAGCCAACTTCCAACTAGGATCTTTTGTGCGAACTCTGTTGTATAGAGCCCTCATCCATCTATGAGCATCCACACTAGCAAATCTTGGTGTTATAATCCAAGCTACCGGGATAGCTTTCTTGTCTGAATTGAAGACAATGAGACTGTGAACAGGATACTGAAAATAATTTTAAAAGGAGAAAGTTAATTTCAAAGACATTAGTAGTCCTCATGGACAGACAATGACAGTTATCAGGGTGAGTCACATAACTTGTGGGTGGGGGAAGGCAAAGCAAGGAGGAAGAGACAAACCTTCAGTTTATTTGTCCCAAACCTTGAATCAGAGGCAATGAGGCTGCGATTTCCAAATCGAATCATTTGTTGCAGCTGCCACTCTGTTTGAATGCCCAAGGTAAAAGGGTCTGAATCAGTGAAATCTTCATAAAAAAATACATGATTCTGATGGCTTTCAACCCACATGTTTACACTGACTGCATCATCTGCATCCAACTCATATGTAGAACGTCTAATGCTCCTCTCCTGTCTTCGAACATACCTGTGGGTTAAAAGGTCATCACGGTTGTATGGACCACCCTGTTTCTCTACAGACTCATTGTGCCGCTGCATTATGGTCTCCACAGAGACACCCACATACAGTAAAGAGAGCACACGGAGGCGGAGATCCTCTGAGATGTACGGTGCAAACATAGCACGTGTTCCAGCAGCCTTTTTGTCCTGTGGCCCATGGCATGGCAACCCTTTCTTATCCACATGCTTATCCTGGTTATATATTATGAGTGCTACCGTCGGCTCAGCAATTAAGCGTTTCACAATAAAGTGACAGGTGCATCCTCTTTTTGTATTAGGTCGACCAGCATTTGTCTTCTTAGGGATATATGTATTCCTGCTGGGTCGTACAATGCCCCCTTTCCTATGGTCATCAGGACCAAATGAACACCAATACCTACAAATTCAACAGGATAAATTTAAAATCAAACAAATCATAGTGCAAGACCGTTGAGCACAAGCTATCAAAAGATTTAAAAATTAAAAAAAAAATAAAGATAGGAGGCTGAACCTACAGAATATATTCAAGAATACCGTCAACCTTTGGCTTGTAAGGTGCCTTTGGAGGCCTCCGCCTTCTTGCTTCAACATGAAATCTTGTTGGACAGTCTTTGTTTGCAGATTCACCTCTAACAAAGTCATCCACTCTAGCAAAGGGGATTAAAGCAACTCTATCTATATTGTCACGCCAACCTTCCACCTTTGACCATACAAGATCAGCAGCCGAGAACTCCAAGGTCGGCGGATTTTGTACAGGGAGGGACAGAATCTGATCCCATCTAGCCATCTACACCAAACAAAACAGTGATTACACTATTTATCAGCAAAATTATTGCAAAATGTCAAAAAGGCAAACCCCACTTATCAATCATAAAACCAAGGTACCACAAAACCCATTTTTCATATGTCCGCTATAAAATCATTCAAAGAAACATAAAATTCATCAACAAAACCACAGCTTATCGAAATAGGTTGTGTCATATTGATAGCATAAATGCAAACATAAAACAGAAACCCCACAGCAACAGCAATACTTAACTCAAGAGGATTCAACCAATTTAACTCAGCTTGAAAAAAAATTAAAGAAAATTGCACATAAACGGATAGCAATAAGTATCCTAGCATGTTCTCTATCAAAAGAGCAGAAGTCATTCAATTAGCCTCATTTAAAAGCAAAGGTTTTAAGGTTTTCATGCCCCAAGGCTCAAAAACTTCCCATTTTTCATTCCACCTTTATCATTATTTTGGGAACCCAAAGAACCTTAAAAGCCTCAGCTTTTGTAGGTCAGTTAGCTCAACTGAAAGTAGTATTACATGATTCACCATATCTTTGCACAAAAAATAATCTTAGATATGTCTATGCGTAGGTATATAAATGCGTATGTATAAGTTAGGATTAGGGGTTACCTGGTAAAGGGCAGCTAAAGAAAGCTCCTTCTTTTCTCCTCTGTTCTTCTCTGTTAATCAGACAAATAAACGGAGGGAGAGGGAGGACAAGAAATACCTATTGTGAGCCGTGACCTTTCATATTTCACAAAAGGAAAAGGAAAAACCCTTTTTTAATCTCATAATTATTGTTTGACCCCTCCATGTCGGAAGTGTTTGATATTATATCCTTATACGTTTTGGGCCTTGAATGAGGCTCTATTTGTTGCAACTATTGGACTCAGGTTAGACCCAAGCACACGCTCGTAACAGACACGTGCGGCTTTGGGTGTCACGTGTCTAAAATAAAACCTCAGCCGCTGGGGTTTCTTGTTTCCCCAGTGCCATCTCTGTGTCTGTGAGGGTATACCTACATCTTTTGAATTGATTCGCTTTTGGTTGGGTTTTGGGTTTTTTTTTTTTTTTTGCTTTGTTGTTCAGCAAGAAAAGAGAATTTTTTTGCATCGATTTGTAGAAGAAAAAGTCTAAATTTGTATAGTTGAAGATGCAGCAGAACGTTAGGAGGTCCATAATATCTAGTAGGAGCAGATGGGGTGGTTTATTGAGATCGCTTATGGAATCTAAGCCTTGTTTGGATGGTTTTCCTTCATCTGCTAAAAGGGTACGATCGTTTACTCCTTGCTTTGTATGGGTAGTTTTGTTTTTGGACATTGCTGTTCTTTTATTTGCTCTGTAGTGAGGTGTTCTTTTTGCTCGCCAACTCTTTGAGCGTCTGTGTTATTAACTGAGGTAAGTTGGCAATGGTGATTTTTTATGTGAAATATTAGGAGCCTAGCAGCATATATTTTATGCTAGTTAGTTGAGCAAAAGGTCAATGTGCCAATCAATTTTATTGGAGCTTCTGCTGCCTTTATTTAGTTAAGCCTAAGCCTTGCTTTGCCCTGGTTAATATGATTGCTTTATAGTTTTTCAAATTCTGTTTATTTTTAGAGTATTTCTTAGACATGATGAATCTGTATCAGTTGTTGATCACTTTCTGATGACATACTGCAGTTTCCAGCGGATTGTAATTCTAGTATTACAAGACAATATGTGACTCGTGCTAATAATATGTCAAAGGTGAGGCGGTAGTTCTTATTCTGTTTACATTTTTTCTCTCTACATAGCTGCAGACTAAATACTTTCTTCTTTTATTCTGCAGGGTGTTCGAGCTAATGGTTAGTTATTGCTCATAGATGTTTATCTATCAACTTTTATGATCAATTTATTAGTGTTTTGGCCAATCAGCGATCTAGATTGGTTGTTGGGAGAAAATAATTTTGTCAGAAGGGTTCACATTTACTTCTTAAGTAATTATTTTTAGAAAATTTTTAGAAGGGAGCCCTCCTTTCTTTCCATTCAATTTCCATGAAGGTTATGGGGTTCTTGCATTGGTCATGTTGCCAAAGTCTAACTTTACAGTTAATATCATTGTTCCTTTCACTATTGGTTACAGAGGACTTACTTCCATGTTTGCCTAACCTGCCTTTTCATGAGTTTGTTGTGGTAGAATATTATTTCATGCATAAATGATGTACTTAGTGAAGTGCATAAGACATTTATGTCAAGTTGGATTAGCATAAGATAATTGTTCTCTTCTCTTCTCTATTCTTTTTAATTTATATTTTGACAATAATGTTCAGCTGGAATTCATCTTCCATTTAGAGGACAGTGTGCTAGAGATTATACAGTTAACTGTCAGGCATCACTCCCATGCATAGAAAATTATGGATCGAAGCTCATGTCTCCTTGCGTTGCTAGATCCTTTGCATCAAGCGCATCAAAGCAATCAAAAGAAACAACTTCTGAGGTTTGGATCTTAACTTACACATTTGGCTTTACATGTTCTCAATGTTTCATCGGTATAAGCTCTACATTATTCGCAAAAATACTTTTCATGTTATTAGTTGATCTATTTGCTTAGTTTGTAATTCTTATATGTCAGTAAATGTAAGTTTATCCCCTTTAATGATGAGGCAATCACTGCCTGAAGGCTGAAAGGATGCTAAAGAGGGATTGGTCTAAAAGGATTAGGAATTTATCATCGTCTTTCTTTCTAAGACAATCATGGAATGACTTACTTTATTTCATCATATTTTGGTTATGAAATAGCAGTAAAGAATAAACAAAGCACAAATACTACTGAAGTTTATTTTATATTGACCAAAGTCCATCTATCATGTGGGAGTTCAAAGGTTCTCGTGTACAACCAGGGTGGGAACAGTAACTTCAGAGTTATCTAAGCTGTACTTATCATATGCTAGACTGGTTGAGTTAATATAATTGCTGCATTTTTTTGTTATCTAGGCTTTATGATTACTTCAAGCTTCACATCAGTTACACTTAGTTGTTGTCTTTATTGCTTTGGCAGACTAGGAAAGAAGTATCTACTGTTGAGGATCCCTTCGATGCTCCTACATACAATATCCCAGACAAACCTGTGACATTTACAGAGGGGGCTAGCTACAGTGTCATAATCCTTGCTGGACTTGGAGTTGCAGCTACTGCAGCATATGCTGTTTTCAAGGAGCTGATATTTGAACCAAAAGAGTAAGAGTCAAATGCCTAGTTGGTAAGTTGGCTATTAAGTCTTCTCCCTTCGTTACTTCCACCCTGATTCAAAACCATGGTTTTATAGGTATAAGATATTCAACCATGCTCTGGAAAGGATTCAGAAAGAAGGCCAGGTTTGTGAAAACTAGCATGTTGTCTTGGATCTAACATTGTTAAATGGTGTCTGGGAATTTATCTGTATGAATCATATGCAGATCCTAATAAGAGATTACTACTCTCTTTTCAAGGTTCAATCACTCTCAATTTAAAGACAGCCTAGGAAGTACCTATTAGGGTTGCGATTGCATTTCTATGTTCACATTGGATTACATTTGTTTTTATCAGGTTAGGGTGAGGATTGGGCATCCTATTACAGGCTACGGTCAAGAAAGTAGAAATCGCGCTGCTCGCCAACGTATTCCAAACAGGATATATACGGACGAAAATGGTGTAGAGCATGTGGAGGTGACTCTCTAGTCTTTACAAGCATGTTGAAAAAATCTTTCGTATTTGTTAGCTATAAGCAACTTGTTATCCGTCACATTGCAATTTTGTAGTGCTCTTCTGAGATAACCTCTCAACCCGCCCAAAATACCAAACAAAAGAAAACAAGATGGTAGTTCTCTCATTTTGATAGGTGATTGCTTCTTAACCATTTCAAAACAGGTTAATTTCTATATTCGTGGGCCACATGGAGCCGGAAAAGTTTTTACCGAAATGTTCAAGGACAAAACAGACCACAAATGGAAGTATACCTACTTGATTGTTCAGATCACTTCACCTTCCCCAGCAGAATTAATGCTGGAGTCTTATTTGCCAGCAGCTGAGCCGAGGGCTTCGACAGCGAATTAAGATTGGGAAAAATACTCAGCTTACCTCCGCAGAAAATTCGATTGTTCTGGAACTTGAGCTTAGTTTTCAGTGTCCCAATTTTGATCTCAGTCACCGGTTGAATTTTAGCCCACCTCTACTAGAATGAGGGAAATGTTTGGGATTCTGTAAATTTGACTGGCAATTGTTTGTCCGTTCTACTTTTGTCAATGGGTAATGGATTTTTTGTTTATTCGTTAACTTCACCCTGTGGCACTGGTAGATGCACCAATAATACATATTGGGTTCAAAATCCTAATTCTACCAGAATGTGCTGGACAACTCTCCTGTTAATTTGTTGCATTTGATTCTATAAATTATAGTCAATAGTATTATGTCAGTTCTTTTTGCCAGTCCCGCTCCCGCTCCATTTTTATTATGCTTTGAATGTTAAAGTGTTTGATCTATTTGTCATACCAAATTCACAGGCCCTTAGTTTGCTGCTATGAAACAATCGAAGGGCAACCAAAGACACGGTCTCCCTGGTTTTGTCTTGCTGAGAATGTTGTGAGATATACACTTTCCTTTGGTCAGGTTAAGCAGTCCCTCCGGGGAAGAAACAACTAAACCAGCCGTTGCTACCTATGAAACAAAAACCCATTGATGTTTTGAAGATCAAAAACTTTGTTCATTGCCCTAAAATTCCAGAGAGTAAATTTCATCTTTCTTAAGAAAAAAGAATGACAGAGTTTGAGAGTATGTTAACTGTTTGATGATTATGCAGATACAGAGCTGAAACACAAAACTCATTGCATCAAGGTAATACAGGGCACTAAAAAGGAAAGAAAAATGGAAACCCTGAAAGAAAAAATGGCCTTAAACCAAGCCTAAAAGACTCATTCATCCCCTGCCCTTGGACGAATTCCAAGTCCAGCTCTTATACTTGCACCCACTTCCATCAAATCTTCCACCTTGTGAATGCCGGAAGCTTTAAGGAAAGCGACGGATGCGGAGGAAGAAGCGGCGAGGAACAACGAAGCGACGGCGAAAGCTTTGAAGGGCATCAAACGATGATCACCGGCGTAACCTTTACGATAGGAAGATACGGCCCATCCAAATTGCGCCACGCTTGCTGTGGCCCAATACCAGTGGCTTTCGATGCGGGTCCTATCTGCATCACCACCGCTCTCCTCCACCTCCATGACTTGTCTCTCCCTTCGTCACACTTTCACTGACTCTGCAGTTTGCCCCCCTTGGCTGCCGCACTTCTCACTGCTTCCTTGATTGGGTTGGCCAGCGCCATGCGGACTATTATTTGGACCCTTGTTTGTGGGCTAGCACTGACCAGCTTTAAGCTCATATCAGTACCCAATCACAGGAGGTTGGCTGGTAGAGCTCCACATGAGCCGGGTTATCATACCAGGAGTGAGCGGACTTGGGCGGGCCTGGATATAATTTTCCCTGCTTAGGTCCTAGACGGTTTGACCCAAGAACACTGTTATATTAATAAATATTATATTTATTTAATTTTAATTATAAAATAATTTGTTTTAAGGTATCAACCGGACCCAATTACCTTTAGTGATTAATTAATTATTTTTAATTTTTTAGATTTTTTTAAATAAATAAGTTTGGAAAAATCAATTGAGATACTGATTTTTCTTTTTGTTTATTTTAAAATTTTATGTGAAACTTTCTTAGTAGTTACAAGATAGACATTTAACGAATTTAAGAATTTTATTCTAATACCATTACTTTGAACAAAAGGAAAGACGTGGCTTTTGAATAGAAAAGGAAATAAGCAAGAGAATAATAGTATATAAAATCCTACTACTAGTTAGTAGTTAGATACAAGAAACAATCCAACCCCATAAAAATATGATAAAATCTAATTAGCATACAATTCGTTCATTGATAGAAGCAACACATGATAGGAGAAACAAAGTTCGAAATCATCTTTCTACTCAAACGGTCAAGCAAATACCAAATAGACTGGAAAGTGCAAAACAAACACAAATTAGCATACATTAAAAAAATTTTCATTGAATGAAAGATTGCAATCAAGTAGGAGTATTTATTTTGTGGGCATTGATCGATCCAGAATTGCCAATACAGTTTGTGTGAGGGTGAGCATCACTACAATGAAAGCAGCAATAGTTGCAGTTCCTCTCCAGAGATTGTTGAAATAGACATGCTTCAAGGTAGTCCATCGACGATTCCAAGAACTATGATAATACCTGTTTAGATCCCTTCCGATTTGGCCATAAAGCATAACTGAATGTACAACTCCCACAGCAAGGTTGTTAATCATATCGGCCACGGCTGCACTACTACCCAATCTATTGACAATAATTCCTTTTTTTACCAATAAATCTACATCTTCACTTGTGTCAACAAGTGAGTCTAGTAATAGAATATAACTACAAAAATAAGCTTCCTTTGGATAGTGACATTGTTCGAAGGCCATCAAGTTTCTAAAACGAATCTCTGTTTCATACTCTATAGTAATTATTTGGAGTTCTAGCACTCCCTTCTCAAATTTTACATTAAGCAAGTTATTTATATTGTTACGAACTTCAGGCTTACGACCTACAAACCCGACACTTTCAATACGAACTTCATCATTCTTAACACCGATAAACTTAACACCGGCCTCTTGCAACATCGTTGCACTGTACAGGTTGCGGATTCCCTCAAGTGAGTTTGGTGGGTAAGAACTCATTACTTGGTATCTAATTAAATCCGTGAAGTGTTTAATCTCCCTTTCGTCCAGAGATAGATCTTTATTGACATCAAAGTACCAACAAGCCAGATCAAGGAAAGAAAAGATAGCAGCAGGCTCGGGAAAAGCTCTGTTATATATATCTTCAAGGACAAAAAATGGGAGTTGATTTTCAAGTAACATCAAATCCGTTGGAAGTTCAACCCTTAACAATTCTCCACGGAAAAAGTTGTCATCGTCTGTTTCTCCAATTGTCCTCAAGAAGAGCTCAATGATAAAAACTGCATCATATGATATTATCTTTATGAATTTGGAAGCCTCCAACTCAAAGACAAATTGGGCCTCATAACATCTGCATATAGGTTCTAAATTATTTTCGATGTAGCTCGCAGTTTTCTTCAACGTCTCAACGGAAGTCCCCCTCAAAAAATTTTCGTAATATCTCTGCTTTTGCCTCTCCATTAGAGCCAAATTTTTGTTACCATGAAAAACAGGCCCTATTGAAATCAATTGAGGAGTGTAGACTTTTTCGTTTGCTTCACGAAACCGTATAGGGGCCTTGTAAATACAGCACTCAGGCACAGGCTCTAATAAGCCGTGTTCAGTGACAGTAATTGCCAAATCTCTGGGTCGGTCGTTGTTTGCAATCAGTGGAGCACTTTCTTGGTCGGTGTTCTCCATGTATGCAACTTCCCTCTCACTTAAACAAACGACAATTCTCACCAGTGACAGTGAGCAATAGCAACAGAATTAATCAAACCACAACTTCAGATTTAAGCCTTGTTACGTCCAACACTGTTCAATCTTTCGTTTTGGGGCACTTTTTAAGCCTGAACTATAGATTTACCCCTAAAAAACTTAGGATCAGATCTATATGAAAGAACTTAATTTCCATAAAAAAATGAAGCAGATAGCTAAAGATGAAAAGTAAACAAAATCAATACCCTCATAAGAATAGAAATGCGTACCTCTGATGGGAGGAGGTCATCAAATCCGGCAAAACAGCTCAAGGTTCAGAGTGCGAAATGAACCAACTTAGTTGCGTTATTGAATACAACTGGCTCCGGTAAGTCTTGGCGTTGCAGTTTATACAGCAGAGAGTAATAAGCACAGTTCTCTCTAATGTGATAGAGGAAGATGCCCACCTTGTTTCTTCAGTCCCATCCTTGGATTGGCACAAGTCGTCTGCGAGTCAATCTTTCGCACAAAACGTGATTCTATTTTAGTTGTCATTTACTACCCACCTTGTTTTTTTCTGACAGAAAGTCAAAGAGTTTTAATATGCAGCCCCAAAATTTAAGTTCCTCATCGGCCGATTTAGTCTTTCGCTAATTATAAAGGCCTTTCCTCCTACGTTCCGATTGGTTGGGGTGCATTTGGGCCCCAATAATGCATGAACACAAATGTTGTCTTCTCCTATGGCCTAGAGGGGGGAAGCGTGGGTTGTCCTATCAGTTATCATAAATAATTTAAGAAATTGCAAAAGGACAATATAAAAGCCACGCCCTATTTTAAAACCGGCTGCTAAGCTATAGCTATTGGTTGTGTACAACAAAAGAAAAAAGATAAAAGAAAAAGAAACTTGCAGCCATTATTTACCTATGGATTTGGCAACTCTGACCTAAATATGTAAAAGAAAAACAGAGGAAGAGAGAAGGAAATAACAAGGAGTTGCACATTTAGGTTTTCGTGCTGAATATTGGTTCATCTCTGTCTTTGAGCACCAAATAGAACTTTGCTGCAAAGGAAACTAATTAAACAATATTACAAGTCATACATTTCAATATGCAAGCTAGAACTACAATATACATATATGTGAGTGTCTGAGAGAGAAAACGGGAGCTCTATTTACGCTGACTATGCAAGCAATGCATTGATGTAAACTTGAATTGTCAGATAAATATCACTGCTGAAGAAACCAATTCCACTTGGATCTTCCACGCAGTGATGCAACCTCAGGTTCAAAGAGTAGAAAGCTTGAAGAAGAAAATTCAGCGGACAAATATTTATGCACCATATAAAGTATGAGGCCTAAACAGCAATAACATAAGAACTGCGTGATAGGCTCACATTCAGAGAGAGCTATTATGTTTATAGTCAAACTAATAGTCTATTACTTCTCAGCAAGGGGCTTCATTTGTTGATTTCCAGGAGGCATGCTTTGAGTGACATCAGAGAGCAGAATTTAGCAGAAAAAAAAAAAAGGCAAAACCAACAAACTCAAATGGACAATATGACAATTTTACCACAGCTTAAACCGTCTAAATCATGTCAAAAATAAAGATGCAGTCTCAGGCAATTCTCTGATTAATTGATATGTATCCACGGTTGAAACAGAAGGAGCAAAATAAGTGTTCATAAGGGTGGTCTAACAGAACAAATATGCCATGACAGTGAAGGCTTCATGCATTTGACATTTGAGACTGAAATGTGTAGAATATTGTGTAAAGCAAGTTGAAAGCTGTTTAATGAAGGAAAAAGAAGAGAAAACACGAGTTGAGTTGAAAGTTGAATGGAAAAATGAGAATTATTGCACCATGTTAATCAGTCGAATTTAAAATTTTATGTGCATGAAGCAGAAATATAATACGAGAAAAGAAGGATGGCCAAGAGCATCAACATGGAATCATGTAGTCATTAGCTGTTACAAGACCATGTGCTCTAGTTTCTGCTTCCGTACTCCTGAAAATCATATATTTGTTAAATCTAGATTGCATGGTTTATGTTGTTGTCACCAGTAGAAGAGGGTAGAGGCCATGACTCCTGCAGATAACAGTTTGGAAGCAAAGGCGCATCCACGTAACATGCAGGGAAGAGGCCATGGAACACTAGTCATATTGCAATTCTATTGTGTGCACTTTGCCCCTCCTAAGCTGCTTCTGTTCGCAATACTTCCTTCTAGTTTGGAAAAACCATTTGAGTTCTTGGTTTTTTTTTTTTGTTTATTTTAACACTTCATGTAACACTCTCGTAGTTGATACAAGAGTAAGCTAAACTTTTGATGCATTCAAGAATTTATTTTAATACAATTATTTTGAACAAAAAGAATAAGAAGGAATAAGTAATAAAGAAAATTGTGGTCTTTGGAAAAAAGGAAAGAGAATGAGTAAGTAGGATATAAAATCCTACTACTAGTTTGTAGTTACATAAAAGGATACGAGGAACAAGCCAATCTCATAAAAATATGATAAAATCAAACAAAATAGGCACACAGTTGTTCATTGATAGAAGCAGTACATGCCAAGAGCAACAAAGCTTGAAACAAACTCCCTTTCTACCCAAAGCCCAAAGGGTCTAGCAAATAAATTAAAAACGTCTGAAACAAATACAAATTAACACACATAAAAGGACTGATTTATTTTTCATTGAATCAAAAACTGCAATCAAGTAGAAGTCTTTTTTCGTGGGCTTTGTCGGTCCAAGATTGCGAGTATGGTTTGTGTGATAGTGCATACCACCATGATGAAAGCAACAACAGTCGCAGTTCCTCTCCAAACATTGTTGAAATAGACATGCTTAAAGCTTGCCATTTTACGATTCCAAGAATTATCATATTGCTGGTTTAGATTTCTTCCGATGTCGCCATAGACGAAAGTTGAACGTACAATTCCCACTGTAAGGTTGTTAATCTTATTTACCATAGCTGCACTGTTATCCATTCTATTGACAATAATTCCTTCCTTTACCAAGATATCTACATCTTCACTAGATTCAACAAGAGTCTGATAATCTAATACAGCTACCAAAAGTGATTTCTTTTGGATAGTAACATTGTTCGAAGGTTATCAGATTTTTAAAACGAATCTCAATTTCATACTCCACATTAATAGTTGACAATTTTAGCACTCCGTCCTCAAATTGTACAAGAAGCAAGCCGTAGTGAATAGACTTTTTAAACATATTACTTCTAACCAAACCACATTCGTACTCAAGACCATCAATCTCATGGCATTTATGAAAAACACCATTAAACATAACACCAAACTTATCATGTCCAACCCACTATCATTAAATGCAACACGATTAAACTTAACACCAGCATCACGTAACCTTGTTGCGTTGTGCATGTTATGGTTTCCCTTATTTTTGTTCAATGGACAATCCTTCAATGCTTGGTATCTAATTAAATCCGTAAAGTGCTTAACCTCCTTATCCACCATTGATGAATAATCTTCGACATTGAAGTAAGAGCAGGCAAGATCGAGAAAAGAATAAGAGGCAGGAAAAGCTAGATTATATATATATATATATATATATATCTCAAGAACAAAGAACGGGAGTTGATTTTCAAGTAACATCAAATCTGTTGGAAGTTCATCTCTAAACAACTCACCATGGTTAAAGAAGTCATTGTTCTTGACGTTGACAGCAGATTTTTTGTTTTTCATCCAAATGCCTGAAGTGGTTCTTGTCTTGATCGAAATGTCTTCTTAAGAGCATAATGATAAAAATTGCTTCATTTATTATTATGTCGATAAACTTGGACTCCCCAACAGACAGATAAATGGGATGGCATAAGACCTGCCTATACGGCCTAAATTCATTTTGACCATTTCATGAATTTTGTCCATTGTCTTCTCAGAAATGCTTTCAGAAATTTTTTTGTAAAATCTAACCTTTTGCATCTCCATTTGAGCCAAAGTTTGGTTACCGTGATGCATAGGCCCAATTGAAATCAAGTGAGGAGTGTAGGCTTTTTCCCTTCCTTCAGGAAAACGGTTAGGGACCCCGTAAAAACAACTGTAATGAGCAGAGAGTAATGAGCAAGGTTCTCTCAAATGTAATAGAGGAAGATGCCCACCTTGTTTCTTAAGTCCCATCCTTGGATTGGCACAAGTCGTCTACGAGTCAATCTTTCGTACAAAAAGTTGTTGCATGTTTAGTTGTTGTTTCTTTACCACCTTGTTTTTTCTGACAAAAAATTAATGAGTTTTAATATGCATGCAGCCACACATTTTAAGTTCTTGATCGGCCGATTTGGTCAATTTCCCCGAATGTAAAGGCCTTTCTTCCTACTTTCCGATGGGTGGGAGCGCATTTGGGTTTTAATAATGCATGAACTGAAATGTTGTCTTCTCCTACTGTCTAGAGGGGGCAAAAGCATGGGTTATC